TGGATCAGCTCTTGCTGCCAACAAAATTGCGTGGTGTGTGTGCGCACGAGTGTGCAGATACTTTTATGTGCAAGTACATGCTAAAAACTAAGTGGTAAAAGAATTTTTGGTCAAGAAATTGCACAAAGTCTAAGGCCATAAAAAAAGCAGCAGCAGCAGCAACGGATAAAAGAATGAGCGGCATGCCGCAGAGGAAGCGCGGGGCAATGCATGCGCGCTGCATGCAACGAACGACACCAACTTGGATACTGGGAAATTGTGGAATATGGAAATACATATAAAATATGAATATATACCATTTGTATACGAGTTTAATTTATAAACCCTCTCTATCTCTCTCGCTTTCGTCGTTTATCTTCCCCGACTTGTTGCATCAGTATTGCCGTCATTTAGTGGCATATTAAAGTGGCAATCGATGGTATTGCCGCAAAGCAATTTCTTTGTGGCTTGTCGACGCACAGATATCGCACCTCACACACACACACACATACACACACACACACACACACATACACGCACACGCAGTCCCTCAACCGCCCCGGTAGGAATCCGCCAGCTTATCCGTTGAACATCGATCGAGCTGAACGATTTCATCAAATCCGCTGACGTTGAATTGATTTGATTTGATGTGCGCCTTGTGCAAATTTATTTGATGCAGTTTCATAAATGTGAGCGACCAAAAAAAAGTGCGGAAGTTTTTACTTTGCGCCGACGCTGCCCGCTGCCTTTGCCATTTTTATTTCCATGCCCATCGATGGCATAATTTTTCACGTTTTAGAAAACTGTGTGGCCTAGGCTGGTTGGGATTGAACCCGCCGCTCGAGGGCGACCTCCAAAAAGGTAAGCCACGCATAGCATCAACGCACCTCCCTTTTACTCTGCAGCCCGTTCTAATAGTCACACACTTGAACCTCTGCCAAGCACTCGAGGCGATAATCAGATTGCCAAGCTTTCCCCCCAACCCTCCGTGCCAACAACCGTCAGCAGTCCCTCGTGCAGGTGCACGTTTGAGTGTCAGCGTGTGTGTTTGTGTGTGTGTGTGTTAATTGAACTGTTCGACGTGCATAGTCAGCGCTTGTTTTACAATTCGGCTGGATATGTCAGCCTTTAAGAGTTGCAGGCATCAATAACCAGCAATCCAGCAGCCATCAGCACCAAGCCCCACCCAGAAGCCATAATCCACCGCCCACCACCCATCGCTGTTTAAAGCTTCTGTCCTATCCGAGCATTAACCATACGACAAGTCTTCAAATATTGAGCGCTAGCTTTAAATTAATGCGATAGGTATGATTAAATATACCTATATAATCCATTGCACTGCGTTGCCAATTGATGCGGAAACTTTTCCACAAATTGTTGATTGCCATTTAATTGTGTACATGATTGTGGGCGTCCCACTGTGCACAGTGTGTAATTCAATTAGGTTGCAAAAAAGTTTAAATTGAAAAACATCACACGGCCTGTGTACTGTCGCCATTGAACATATGCCTTATAATATACGAGTAACCCGAAACCTAGACTGATGCTTGAATTTAGAAATAACGAACTGATTTTCTTAGATTATTATGATTCGGGCAATTTAAATGAGGCAAGTGCCTTGCTATAAAATTATATATATCAATGATTTTGAAATTTTTAGCTGCCACAAATATATTCTCAACGAATAAGGATTGGCTTTCCAAGTACAAAAATAAACAAATAATAAATGTAAGACAAGACCCGTCTAATTGCAAGAATCAGTTCTAAGGCGCATATCTTACAGAGGGGGTTGCCTTGCGTACGTTCGAGTTTCTGCCCGACACATATGAATTTTCATGCTGTCTGCAAACCAACTTGTTTGGCTCTTCAAAACTCCTGTTGCCATTTGCATATCGTATGGATAATACTTGAAATCAATTGGTAAGCTTGGCAATAACTATTATTCCCATTATGAACAGATACAATTGTACTGCTTTGCGCACTGCATATCTGCTGTGAAATGCCACTAAACAATTTTAAATGGATTTATTACCTTAATAGATGCTCTAGCCTTGTACTGTCCTCGCTAGTGCTTGAGCACAATGCTGCATTCATTGAATAGTTGGCTCAGTTTAAGAGGCCTCTCAGCTCCTATTTCATTAACTCTCAAGCACAGAGATGGGCATTTCGAAACAGTATGTGTATGAATACAGCGTTAGTCTAGGGATACCCCATAATAGACAGGATGCTAAAACTAAACTAAAATTTTAATTGGCCCAATTTGACACACCTGAATACCAGACAGACAGTTACGCCTGTATATTTATATATACTTATATATATTTGCATACTCCTTATTTGCCTATTAACGGGTACTGGGTATTTGCATGTAGCCAATATTCAAAGCAATTCGAGCTGAGGAGTTGGTAATTAACGACTGATATGAGCTGAAGTACATCAGTTAAAGCTCCAGATCTACATTTCAGGTCAGATTGAGGGCTAGTGCTAAAGCTATGGCATGTTTGCTAGGGGCGTGGCTGGCGAGGCAGCGCATTAGTAAAACAATAATAGGTTGCGTGATAGGAATCTTGTCGCCTTTTCTCGTGCCAGGACAGTGTCGATGCGAACGCCTTTTCATATACAGCTGGCAGGAATTAAATAGACCCGACGACGCGTCACCGTTGTTGACTCCAACTCCAAATAACATCCTTGCGTGGGACTGGTGTCGCCTAGCAGCCTGGCAGCTTGGCAGCCTGGTAGACTCGAAATGTAAAACAAGAGACTTTGACTTTAATCCCCACACAGACTGCAAACACCCTATACACACACAAACTCTTGGCCAATTCAAATTGTGTTTGGTAGCATAAATTGGCCAAAAGGTGTTCAGCATATGGTTTTACTTTTACTTTGGCCTTTTTTATTCAGTCATATAGAAAACAAGCAAATACACACAAATCACAGCATAATAGAAAGAGGGGGCGTGTTTTGCGGGTCGCCTGTTTAATCAAGCGGCCTGCCAACATCTGCGCAGCTGGTTGCGCGCTCTATAAATAGGGCCAGAGCTTCGGTTACGCCCTCACGCCCACACACACTAACTTAATTAACTTGTTGTGAAACAGATGTAGTATATTTTTGGCCATGTCCAGAATGATATTCAATTTAAGCTCCAGAGCGAGCTCTGTTCCGGTCTCTGGTTCTGGTTTTGGTTCTGTTTTTCATCAACGCCAGTCGTCAATATTCCAAAAGTCAAAGTTTAACTGAATCTCTCTCGTACTATCTCTATCTATCCATCTCTGTCTTGCGTTCTCGTCGCTTTTTGAGCTGGCTCAGCAAGTAATGCCCCAGGGAGCCACTGGGCGGCTGACGTTGGCAGTGCATTGACAATAAAATGGTTCCACAACCACAAGGCTGCTTGTTGAGTGCCAAGAGCCAAGCAACTGGACCAGCAAGCTAGGCAGGCAGGCGGACGATATCAGACGAATTGTATTGAAATCGACAGCTAATGAAATGTTGCCCCAGATAGCAAACACGCATCTGCAGCGGGCAGCTGCTTCCCCATGGAAGCAGCTCGGTATGCCCCAAGGCAAGTCCAACAAGGAGTCAAGACATTTGGTCCCGCTCTTGTCGTTCCTTATGCTAAGTGCCATAAATTGTAATTACAATCTGCAACACTGGCAACACAGCTCTGATTTTCAGAGTCAAGGTCAAATGGCCCGTCACGTGGCGTATACGTTATTTTTATGGTGCAGACTGAACTAAATATCTGTGACCACATATCGACACTCGTGTTGCGAATGAACAGAACATTTGCTGAATATTGCGAATACGAGTAAAAGTTATATGCAGGATGGGTGGGAGGACGCATATAAAGGATATCTTCTACAAGCAATATTAAATATAGTTAACAAATGACCACACCCGATTCAAATCAAAGAGATGCCTTTCAAATTTTAATTATCGAAAAACTCAATTTGTTCCGTAGTGCAGACGTTAGGCCTAATGAAAGCCGTGTTGTTATAATTATTATTGTACACATAATGAGCTTGTTTTAAAGTAATTTTCGCGTAACGTGTTCCCCAGAGCTAAAGCTATTTTTATGATTTTGCTATTTTTGAATTAGGCCAGAGAGAAGATGAGATACCCTGTGGCCAATAGACTAATGGGGCCCAATCCACGGAAGCTCCAGAATTAAAAATGAATTCACAAACAACTGTTGTGCTTATTGTCAGATAGTTATACAATTCAAATGTCTCCAATTCTTAAATATATATATAAATATATCGATTTGGGGGACATAAAAATCTTTATATTGATCCTTGCCTGCATTTAGGAGAATACTCTCTCAGATAGGCGGGCTTCATATATATACATAATCTTGACGGGGTCGGAGAGGCCCCTTCTGACTGAGGCATACCTTTGTCGAATTGCCATAACTTCTCTACCCATTTATAAAAAGAGGTATACAAAAATCATGCACATCAAGCGTACATTACAAATGCACAACTACATACACGCAAACACAGCCACACACACATTTGCTGAGCATTATTGAGCAAAGCGAATTTTTGGGAAAACGCAGGCCTTGTTTTGGTTACATTTTGCATATCTGGTCAGCTGGAATAACTACAAATTTTTACAATTTACATACATTACAATTTTGTAAATTGTTTGCTTCTGTGCGCTGCATTACAAAAGAATTCACCGATATGCATTACCAGCTATAACAAAATCTATATTATTGCATAATTTTAGCATTTTAAAACGATTCGCATGAACTAGTTTGAGGGCTCTACTCAGCTTGACACAGAATGCAAGGGGGTATAGGGAGGTAATAGGTGTTCTCGTGGTATGGGGGAGGGCAGTGTCAAGAGCGAGCAGGGCAAGCACAGCGAGTAAGAGGGCGTGAGTTCCAGAGTGTGTGAGCAAGGCAAATAGATTAAATAGGCAAGGACAAAGACACGCTAAACGGGTGGGGGCGGGTAGCACTAGAAATGCGCGCCGAGGGCTGCCTAATTACAATCAAGCAATATTACGATACTTACGCGTATTATCTTCTGATCCCGTATGATCTTGCGTATGCAATTGACGATAAAGGTGATGACCATGCCGCCAAGTATAAGGCCAAATACGATGATGATGATGACCACATGCTCGGATTGGCCAGTCGTTTCACTCTGTGAATACAACAAAATTATAACAATATAAAATTAATCAAATAAACTTATTTTCAATTCTGATGATGATCAATATGATTATCTAATGTAGCGTTCACTTTATTTTCGAGTTTTGCATTTGAGATACGGACTTTCGATGTAAATTGATAAAAGAACGCAGACTATATTTATATATACTTTATAGTAATATAGTCAGAGCTTAATTAGTTTAGTTATTCATTAATTATACCCTGAACCTATTAAAAATGGCTAAAAAGGGTAAAATGGTTTTGTGCATCGTTCATTCCCAGCCACATTGATACATAATATATGGGAGACATGTAAAGAAAAAAATGATAAGCTCTCTTATATACAGATAGACCTGGCTGGATCAACTGAGCTTGTGTTCCCAATTACAAATACTAGTATGCTTCCTTCTGTCTGTTACACAATTTTTTACAAAACTATTATACCCTATTCGGCTATTCTTTTTCTGAATGGCTGCAAGTATAATAAGAATTTTTTGCGCAGCTTGAAAATTGTATAAAAAGGTTGTTGGCATGGTTTAAATGACGTTCCATCATGTAAGTTTTTGCCGTTTGTTTTTCTTGTATGAAACAAGTCGACATACAAAATGACATAATTTTAATGGGTAATGTTTTTGTCCAAGCTTTTGTATAGCCCACATGCACAACTTGCTTTAATTTGAAGCTCGGTGAAGCTGCTTTGGCAATGCAAGCTCGATGAACACAATTAACTAAAAATCGTGCGCCAATTTGACTGTGAGCCAATTAAATAAACATAAATTGTGTATGCGCTTGATTGAACTTTCGATCGAGCCATTGGACCAATTATGAAGTGTCCAAAAAAATGCGATTTATTTGGTAATGCATTTACATTCGAAACCCAAATAAGTGACACCAAAAATCGCTTGTTTTCCTAATTAGACATACGAAATTTTCAAATCTAATACGCTTTTTGTTTCTGCAATGTTTGACACAATTAACGCAACTATCAAATTAGTTTATAAACAAACAACTATCATGGCGCAGGTTTAATTTTTCAAAAATAGTAACAAATGCTTGCATTAGAATGTAATTTGTGCCATTTAGTATAATTGCCAGTTGGATTCCATTGTATTATAATGTGACGAACCTAACATATGCGATTGTGATGAATTTTTTATTTTTATACCCTTGCAGAGGGTATTATAAATTTGTCGTGAAATGTGTAACGCATAGAAGGAGACATCTCCGACCCCATAAAGTATATATATTCTTGATCAGCATCAACAGCCGAGTCGATAGAGCCATGTCCGTCTGTCCGTCTGACCGTCTGTCTGTTTCTATGCGAACTAGTCTCTCAGTCTTCAAGCTATCTTAATGAAACTTTGCAAAAGTCCCTCTTTCTGTTGCACGCAGCACATATGTGAAAACCAGCTGGATCGGACCACTATATCATATAGCTGCCATAGGAACGGTCGGTCGAAAATTAAGATTTTGCATGAAAAACATTTTGTTTATCAAGATATCTTGACCAAACTCGGAATTTATTAGTTTCACTATGCTCCTCATATATATGCAAAATCCTATTAAGATCGGTACACTATATCATATAGCTGCCATAGGAACGATCGGTCGAAAATTAAGTTTTTGTACGAAAAAGCATTTTGTTTTTTAAGATATCTTGACCAAACTCGGAATTTATTAGTTTTAATATGCTCCTCATATATATGCAAAATCCTATTAAGATCGGACCACTATAGCATATAGCTGGCATAGGAACGATCGGTCGAAAATTAAATTTTAGTATGAAAAAATCATTTTGTTTTTCAAGATATCTCGACCAAACTCGGCAATTATTAATTTTACTATACTACTCATATATATGCAAAATCCTATTAAGATCGGATTACTATATCATATATCTGCCATAGGAACGATCGGTCGAAAACTAGGTTTATGATTAAAAACTTTTTTTGTTTATCAAGACATCTTGACCAAACTCGGCGTTAACTATCTTCCCTGTGCTTCTTAGATACGGGCAAAGCACTATAAGCATTATGAAAAGGTTGGGTCTGCAAGGGTATTAGATCTTCGGCGCGCCGAAGAAAGCCTTTCTTTCGCGTTTCTCTTGGATTTTGTGTGAATTGTTTATAGTAGGCAAATAACTTCTTTTTTTGTCTAGGTTAAATAAACCTTCCTCTTATTGATAGGTCTATTTTCTTATTGCATAGGCTACATATCGGAGTCGGATGGATCGAACCCCTATATTAAAGAAACTAGTTCACATAAATGTTCTTGCATAAAGGATAACTTGACAAAACTCAGCAATGACGTGCTTCACTGTGCAAAACCGTCTCAAATCGGATTACTATATAATCTATTGAAAGCATCTGTTGGAAAATTAGGGTTTTGAATAAAAGCAAACCTACAAGGGTAAGTATATAATTTTATTTTATTAAGCGGAAAATGCGTTCAATCAAAACGTTACACAGCTCCTATCAATAAAACAACACCCTTTATTACAAAGAGTATTCAAAGCTTGTAAGTCGTAAAGTACCCGAGTTCAATGTTTGCTAAGTTTTCAAGTGCGTGAGAGAAGCTTTGTGCCGTTTTTCGAGCTTGAACAATTAGTTGGTCTTTACGATTGCAACAAGATTTACAACAGAATCGCACATTATTTGGGGGCAATAAAAGCTCGAAGAAATGCAAACTATTTGCCGCTTTTAACTTAAATGAGTCACAAGGGAATACGGTTGAGAGGGCTTTGCTTTGGCTGGGCTGTGACCCTATCAAATCTAATCATCTACACAATTGCTGAACCAACAAAAAAACAAAATAAAAATAGGGAAAACCAAAAACAATAACAACAACAAGCGGTGACAACACAGAGAGGGGATGGGGGGCACGCCTCGAATACAAATCTCAGACTTTGGCAACAAAACTTATTTGGCCAACTTTATGCTTGTGTACGTGTTTGTGAGCGTAACTCTGTGTGTGTGTGTGTGAGCGAGAGAGTGTGTGTTGCCACTGTGACTGAACATAGTTGAAATAAAAGGCAAGAGTATGCGGCACATTCGTTTGCCCATAATTAGATGCATGTACGAAGTTTGGCCTACATAATGATAGGGGATGCTTTTCCTCTTATATTTGTGGATGACTTCAATGGGTGAATGGGTAAATAGGTGCACGTACTACGGACGGGTGTGTCTATGGGTGGGTGGGTTGTGGGTGGGTTTATGGTTTGTTGATTTCTCACTTACCGAACACTTCTCCTCGTCCCAGCGAAATTTACAATTGTCCCGCTCATTACACTTTAAATCGCTTGATATGCAGGTCGCGTCCTCGCAATCGTACTCGTCGTCGGTGCAGGCTGTTTTTTTGTGGTAGGCAAAGATTCATGATTAGAATTTAACTTAAATTGCTCTAAAATGAAACAGTCGGCATAGCACCGACTGGGCTATACTGTGTTCGCCGTGTTACTACAGTTTAGATTAGTCGAAAATACTTCTATTATACTGACTCTAAGACTGTAATCAATGCCTTTTTAACTGTGAGTAGTATATATAAACCAGACTTTATCCTTGGAAGTACGAACAGCAAGAACGAGTGTTTACAGAATCAATGCTTGCAGCGGCAATACTCCCGTTAGCCATTTTATAGGTTACAAAAATGGCCATCAGCAGCAGACACAAAAGCAAATAGACATAATCTCGAGCACAAATAGTCATGCAGCAACAATAATTGCAATGCTTCGGTAACTGGCAGCTAAAAGTACAAACTCAGACTTCGGTCTCTGCCTCCTGCTCAGCTTTCACCACAGCCTGAGGCTCAGTTTCTTCCAAATGTCTCGGCTGCAGGCTCAGTTTTGGCTGTCACCTAACAATTGTTAGCCTTGGCTAGTGCTGGGCTGGGAGTTGTTAACTGTAAAATGCCAAAAAGAGCTCTGGCAAAGTTAACACAATGCCAGCAACAAAGGACAATCGTTGAATGACAAAGGAGTGCTTAGCCTTTGGCAACAGGCGGCAATCACGCAAAACTGGGCTAGGAGGCTGACAAACAAACAGACAAACAAACAAACAGTTTGGCGGTAAATGCTAGTCTATGGGCAACAACGAGATACATACATAAGTAGTTAGCCAGACAAAGGCATGGACAAGGCCGAGAGACAGTTGTTAGCCAACAGAGAAGGAAAAAATAACTGACAGCCAAAAAGCCGCCCAAAAATCCATTCAAAAAGCCGTCGCCGTTTGTGGTGTTTGGGTGCGGCTGAGGGATAGCGTTAGCTTAGCACAGGATTGTCCAGGCTTTGCCCTTTTTCATTGTCCTGCCCTCACTTCTACTGCTGCTGCTGCTTGCTTTGAGACGTTCCGTTAACACACGTGCCGCAAATTTGAAGGATTTTCTGCCGCTACCAACGCTACCGCCAGCATAACTTAGTGTGCGTTGAGTTTTGAAATGTTTGAAATGGCCTAGTTAAAATTGTAAACTTACTTCCCGTTCCACGGTCCCGGAATGCTGTGTACAGAATTGCGAATGTTGAATTAATCGCACTTTGTTCCGCGTAAAATCGCATGTGCAGAATGTTCGACTCCGCCGTAATGCTCTCGCCCGCCGAACCGCAAAAGTTTTTCACTCTGCAAACAAAAAAAAAAGAAGAAAATAACAAACGATGGAAAGGGGTAGAGGTTGAAAATACAGATCAAATAAAAGAAAACATGGCATGGCAAAAATACAATCAATATTAGGGTGTCAAAATGCTTTTAACTTCGTTTCGCAGCATCGCGGGTTAATTTAAAATTGTGCACTCTCATGTTTGAACCTAAAACGAAAAAGCTAAAGCAGCACCTGCAGAAAGCTTCGTAATGGGTTATATATATTTAATTTAGACATTTTTTAATCCTTTAGAGTTTATGAATTCATGAATTATTTATCATATTCTATAACTCTATGATGATTTAAGTAATTTAAAGGTAATAATATGATGAAACCAATCAATTTGGTAATCACGTTAAATTGCTAGACTATCTTATACCCAACTTAGTAGGTTTTAAGTTAATGTTACATTGCCTTCATCAGTTATCATAGCTCAGGACTACGTTCTGAATGTGCCAAGCATTAGCTTAAAATTGTGCAATTTGACTTTCAGTTGAAACTTAGCTAGGTTCTAATTCAAGCCCTTAAAATATTGTTATTGATTTGGTAAACTGTTTTTTCGCATCTATGAGCCCAAGTTCTGGTTCTCAGATTTTATACATTGTAATTATTTTGAAACAAATCATCTGTAACAACGTATTTTCCAGTACAGGCTCAGCTGCTCTTCAGTCAAAAAAAAAAAGCAATTGCAATGCCGGGCTTACATATACATATATATAGAATCCACTGCATATTGTCAAAGAATTGAAGTTCATTTAAATCTAATGTACACCTTATGTACGCTGGTTTTTTCGATCCACACCGTGAATGTTCAGGTTGATATGTTGCCTGGCCAACACGTTTGCTAAATTGTTACGAAAAGTGAATTTAAATAGAAACCGAGGGGACGTCGGAGAACAGAACCAACGAAAATATCAAAGGTATTGTCAAAGGCAATGGCAACTAGAAAAAAAAGCAGAAGTAATTACCTAAGGAATGCCGACATTTAAATACTCTTCCATTCTAAATAAAGGGTCGCGGCTATAGTGCATGTGCTTTTAAAAAGTCAGGAGCTAAGATTGCGACATATTTTTCACTATTAACTTTTTCACTATTAACTATCTATTCAATTGAAGAAGTGTCTTCAACAAGAAAAAGTGGCCTGCAGATATACATATGTCTTTCTCAGCATAGTTTTGCTGTTTGTGAATTTAAATACCTTGTGCAAGGGTATGACAAGCACCGGATCAATCGACCTGACCGACTAGACAGGCAGCCCCAGCTAGACGGCCAGTCAATCACATTGAGTGGTGCTGTCGTTGCCGATGCCGTTGCCGTTGGTGTTGCCCCCGACGCCAGCATCGGCGACATATTCCCATCAGTGTGCACAAAAGCCTGAACCCTAGAGCTGGCCCCAAAATCGAATGGCATTGCAAGAGTGTGGCTGAGAGGGAGGGAACAGGAGAGCTGGGACTGAGGCGCAACAAGTGGAAATATGTTGGCGTGTTGAAAGAGGGATGTGCCCGACTGAATGGCACATGGCAAATGGCAAATGCCAAATGGCAGATGGGTCGCCGTCGGTTGGTGGCACAAAACAATTCCAGTTGGACGAGTCAAAGGCGCCGCCGCAACTTCCGCTGTCATACAATTTACTTGGGCCGGTAATAAATTGAAATTTTGCTTTACATGCTTTGATCTTTACAGCGTTAGAAAATGCTTTTTGGCTGGTTTCACATTGTGGCGCATTCGTAAGGCGGAAATTGGTTTGTGGCACAAAATTGCGTATACGCCACCCATCGGCAGTCTTTGGGATAGCTCTTAACTCTTACCTTAATGGCATTACTGTTTGTTCTGGGAATATATCCAGAAAGTTGGTCTCGCAGTCATTCGGCTTGCTCAGATGAAAGTCCAAAAATTTCAAAAATATCTTAAAAAGACGAAAAAGAAAATTGTTGTAAGAAGTTGCGTGTATATGTGACCAAAATGAAGCCACACCCACCTTCCAGTTGTCTTTCACCTGTATGCGCCAAATGCAGTCGAGAGCAATCTTATCGCGTATCACCTGTTCCCTAATGTCAGCTGGGACATCTGTTGAGTTGATAAAGCCCTCGTAGCCATCCTTCTCAATAGTGCAATTGAGGTCCGTGCTGGGCGCCTCTCGATTTCGATCCAGGTACTCGTAGACGGCACTGAAACCTGTATATTCGATGGTGTCGTCTGAATGGAAATGCAGCCACAGATACCGCTCCTTCGAGGTTATTTCCGGTGGGAAATCTGTGCCACAGAATTTGCCAATTAGCGTCGAGAAACCGTATTGTCCATCGCGTATCTGAAAAAGTCAGCGACATAGCTTGAAAAACTAAAAACATAGCTAAAACATGCCACACCATCTTATGATGGTGGATAGTAAAAGTAATTAATATTAATTTGAGAATTTTCTTTACGGAAAGCCCCTGTGGCGTGCTCGTATTAACACCGTTTTCTTATGTCATAACAGTTCGAGGATTTTCTTTTTGAAAAGTAAGCAGTGTCCAGCTTGTAGTTATCCCGTTTTCACATGTCATAACAGTTCAAGTCCATTTAAGTTGACAAGTTGGACTTAATCTGGAATTCATATACTTGTGCGCAACTGTGGCAACGCTGCGTTGCCAAGGTGACACACACCTCTTTTATAAGCATGGCTGGGCAGGGGTCGCGTAATTTAAAATGTCATTTACGACTGTCAAGCTAACTGATCTGTAATGTCAAATTGAATCCGAATTGATTAATCAAGCAAATAAAAATGTATATTGCAAGGTGCGAGCATCCACCCACATCCAGCTGATAAAAAGATATAGAATTACAAACGTTATCAGAGAATTATTTATTTTTTATGTCATAACGAAACCTGTGACAAATTAAATCTAAAGCGAAATACAATACAATAAAAATATGCTGCATCACCAAAGGCAGTTATACTTTGAAGTGTGACAGACTCGAACTAATTAGCTGAGGTGCTTATAGACATGATGTGGCAAAGAGACAGAAGCATAAGCCTGTAATACTGTTAAAAATCTTCATAAATATTAACACATGCGAAATGCCTAACGCAGTGCCTAATGTAATTTTAATTAGGTTTTGCCGCAGACCGACAAATAACTTGTTTCGTTCCCCTTTAATATACATAACTGGCTGTGCGCCAATTAAAATTATTTTCTAATTATCAGCTAGCACAAAATGTGCAAAGTTTTATCATATATGTATGTATGTGCATAGATGTGCGGATGTGTCGTTAAAGTTTATAGGCTGGGTTGGCGGTCACTTTTGGAATGGGGGCGGCCACTTGAAAGTTGCCTGTTAAATGACGTTGCGCATACGACATGTGGACGGCAGCTGCAACAATCGGCAAGGAACTGTCCAATGTCAACTTTCAATTAAAACTTTGGCAGATAGAGAGGGCCATTTTATAAAAACGGCCATGCAAATACGTCTGCATGGAGAAATGCCAAAGGCTTGTCTGCCTGACGCTGGCAAAATGTAAAGAAAACTATTCACAAAGTTTTTGCCAAGAACGGGACTAAGGTTTGTTTAGCTGCTGCTGCTCTTGTTGTTGCATTGCCTTTGCTATGGCTGGCAACAACATTGTATCTATAATGCGAAGGCATTTTGTTGTTGTCCAATAATTGCTGGACTTACTTACTTCGAGAAAATCAAATTTGCACTCCTCCTTGGCCTCAATATTAAACGAGTTGCGAAAGTCCAGCCGTATGATTTGTCCCTTCGGCGCTGTAATTAGAAGCAAATAAACAGTTTATATCTTAAGTTATGTGTGCACGTAGGGATGAAGGGAAGAAAACGATCTGTTTATTTATTTATGTTACCTCAATGTCAATCAGATTAAAGAAAATCCTCAGGCTAACAACAACAATTTGTTTAACAGACTTACTTTATAAATATGTACAAATAAAAAAAAAATACATTTCCACACTGTTTTAAAACAGCCCTGAAGCCAACACACAGGGGAATATGTGTAAGCTACCACCTTTTTAATTACATATAGAGGAGGTCTTTGCAAACAACTTTAAATAGCGTTAGGAAAACTCATATTCCCGACTTAGAATTCGATGAAAGGAAGTGCTTAATTATAATATGCTTTTGCAGCTGCATAATGTTAAGCTTGCTCTAGTTAATCTCCGAATTTAATTTTTTGTTCGGAAACAAAATGTGCAACACATTAAAGTTTAAAACTTTCGATTCCATATAGTGTATTCATATAAATATATATATACCCTGTCACCATCAACACGCAAATTGAAATAGCCAAATTTGTTTAATTCTTAGTATTTTGCGGAAAGTTATATAAATGAGACTTCAATGTCTGCCATAGACACAATCTATAACAAAGGGGCCGGGCCTCGTTTGACTAAAATCGCAACATGTCTGCGATAGGGTATTAAATATTCGCTGGAGATAAATGCTACAACCCGCTTTTGGACTATATTACAAAATTTTCTATGTTTTATTAACAAAATAAATATAAATAAAATAAAATTATAGTAATTTTCAACAAACTATCAGATGTAGCATAAAGATAAAAAGAATACCGAATTATTTAAAAGTGTAATCGATAGATTTGCAAACGAAGCATTTTTATTTTAATATTTATACCCTTGTGGAGAGTATTTTGAGTTTGTCGTAATTTTGTTCTGCATAAAGAATATATATTCTTGATTAGCAACAACATTCAGTAGAGACATGTCCTTCTCTCCGTCTGTCTGATTCTATGCAAACTTGTCGCTCAGTAGTAAAGATATTATCATGTAACTTTTGAAACGTCCGTCATTCTATATCATAACGTTAACATAGCAGCGATTTGTTCAATATTAAGTTCTTGTACGTTGAACTTTTTGTTTTTCAGGATATCTTGACCAAACTCAGTACTCGTTAGATTCATTATGCTCCTTGCATATGAACTAACCCCTTTTAAAATCCGATTACAATATTATATAGCTCTCTTTTTCAAAATACATTCACCAAACTCAGTAATTACGAACTTCACTATAGTCCTCATATATCTTCTACAAAATCGTCAGCCCTAATTCTACAAGAGTAATTGGTCTTCTTCGTGCCGAACTAGCCGTTCATAATTGTTTTTACAGTAGTGCAGTAAAATGTTTAAATAAGTAAATTACCAACTGTCTAAAATTGATATGTCTTAGAACTATATAATTTGGCTTTCAACTAAGTTGAATCAATATATGGTTAGAATATTTGGTTATTTTTTAAGTGATTGGAATTCAGCCCACTGAACTTAGGCGCTGAAAAGATGCGTCTGCGCCGAGCTGACAGATGGGTTAAACGGCTGATAACGACCGAAACCTTAGAACGCATCAATGGCCCGGCGTATAATACTTGAAAAGGCGCACGCACACACAATAACCCATAAAAGGATCTACAGCTTGTGGCGGCAACCGGGCTAACCACACCAGGCTAGGCTAAGGCCTTCTTTGGTATACATAACATAATGGAAATGTAATGAAAGTGTAAATCACAGAGGTTTGGTCAAACAAATGCGATGTTTGTGCTGGCTCTGAATGTGAATGGGGATTTTCACTCTGATTGGCCTTGACACAAACACTAAGAGAAAATAAAATGAAAGAAAGAAAGCAGAGCTTCCATCTATGGGATACGCGCCCCTGCTGCTCGGTGGCCCTGCCGGCGCATGTGAGCTGGAGCATCAATTTGGACTTCTGAATAGCATTTCCTGCCCACGCAACTCAACACAAATTGAAGACTAAATGAAAAACTAACCACAAAGCTGGCAATGCCAATTGATAGACGAACGCAAACTCATTGTAATTACATTACGCAAGCATTTCAAAGAGCTGCCTCTGTGACCCAAAACTAATTATTTGCCATACTGTATACTACCTGTGAGGCACATACCTGTGTGCAGGTCAGGTTTTGAGTCAAATGGTATTTTAGACAGTGCAAATGGAAAAAGATTTAAGCTTCTTATGTGCAATAAGCACTTTACATTTTTATTCAATATATATGTGTGGTTCATGTGTTTGTAACATTTAAGTTTTGAAAATCGAAATTAAATATGTCTCTATACTGGTTGATGAGATATCTATAAGGATCATTGTGATCAGCATCAACAGTTTCTGCTATCTTTTTCGAAACCTTGACGCTTTCGAATTCGATTTGAAGAAACTTATAATATGACCTTTTCAGATTTTCAACAGCAGATTTATTAGAGGAATTATATATGAATGTACAGATTTCAGATTTTGTACCACTTTTTCTCCCTCTCTTCTCTCACTCTCTCCCTGTCTCGAAAATAAGATATTCTTATGGCATAAGTACAGTAGTACGTTTTGTATGTGTCACAGTGCCACAGTTCTGGATTTGAATTCCAAGCATTTTCTCTTTTATTCCTCTACGTCTAGACTATATTTACCTTAATCTTGTATTTGTTTTATGTTTTTTGTATGAAATGTGTAGAGCAAAATGCTTTAGAAATCAGTTGCACAATATTTGTAGTTGGGAATTAAGATGAATGAATTAACAGCAATTGACTTACATAACTGAGAGTCGTGTATCCTTAACGCTTGCCACACACACAAGTACAGACAGAGATGAATGGGAGTAAATTATACACACACACACGCTTGATACTAATGCAGCCGCTTAACATTTGGATCGCTGGCATCAGACAACCGCCAACAGGCAACATGTTCGTACCTCCCTCCACCCAATTGGGCCTCAGCCACTGTCTATCGGCCGGCGCACCATATTGTTATGCAAATGAGCCTGCCACTCCCCATGGCAGTCAGCCTATCTTTTTCTATCTATCTATCTTTCTAGCTGTCTGTCTAAGCTAACGCACATATGTAAAGTTAATACAGGACTTAGGCACACACACACACACACACACACACACACACACACACACACACACACACACACACACACACACACACACACACACACACACACACACACACACACACACACACACACACACACACACACACACACACACACACACACACACACACACACACACACACACACACACACACACACACACACACACACACACACACACACACACACACACACACACACACACACACACACACACACACACACACACACACACACACACACACACACACACACACACACACACAACACACACACACACACACACACACACACACACACACACACACACACACACACACACACACACACACACACACACACACAAACACACACACACACAGAGTCTCTCTCTCTGCTACTCACTGAGACGCAGATACTGCTGAATCCGATGATGGTATCCGCTGATGCGTGCCTATAGAATGTCAATCACTTCATACGCTGTAGGTTTTATCTGGGCTGCTCGCTCCGCATGCAGTCATGTTGTTCGCATTTTGTCTTAACTGACAAATGATTTTGGCCCTGTTTACAGATAAGCGTCAAGTCAAAAGCCAGTGAAGCGCAACTAGCGCAAATATGACGACTGCGCCTTGCCACAGGAAAGCCAAATCCTAATCCAAAGCCAAAGCCAAACTCATACCGAATCTTAAACTGAAACTGAAACCCAGTCCCTGCGTCAATTCAAATCGCATTTGGAGGCCAGCAGGATAACATGCTAACGCTTTTAATAGGAAGCGTTAGCAGAGGGCTTTCTCCCTCCCGGTTCTGGTTCTGGCTCCCTAAATTGGCTGACTGACTGACATCTGAAATGTCAACACAATGGTTTTCGCGCACTGCATCTTGGTTAAGATTTGCAATTATTTGCAGTAAGTAGCATCAGCAGCAAAGTGCTTGCCATATAAACTTTTACGAGACCTTTTCTCACCCCCTTTCAAACGGCATTCACATGCCACAGGAATTTGGCTATGAACTGGCTTGCATAAAACTATATTCCAGCGATTGCCTGCAGGTTGCACTCATACTGCCGCATGTTTAAACTGAGTAATCATTTTGAATAAGATGAGTATTCAATAAATGCCAGATTCTGTGCACCACTTACTCATATTGATGTACACACATCCTCATTTCAGAAGTGTGCATTACAGTGCCTTCCATTAGAGTGACACTCATTGCAGATGCCTATTCGCACTTTATAAATAAAAAGCATTTATGAATATAATGTGCATTACCTGGAAGCAATCAAACAAAATCCTAAATAAATTAAAAGAAGAAAGAACGGCTCTCTACGGCACACCGAAGAACAAATACTCTTGTAAAACTATTGCAAATATTTAAGAACAATTTGTGAAATTCTTAATTACTCAGTTTCATGAAGATATCTTGAAAAACATACAAAAACAAATAGGTCGAACAATTCTTCTTGTAGGGCTATATTATAGAGTAGTCCGGTTTTTTTTTAAGTTCTGGTCAATATGTAAGGACCTTATGACCTTATGAAACTGCCAAATTTGGTCAAGATATTATGAAAAACAAATGATAATAACCGATCCAACCGATCCCCTCTCCTATGTAAGCAAGATGATATAGTGTTCCCATCCGACCGGTTTCTGCAACAGAGAGACTTACTTGACAATAGCTTAACAACTGAGAGACTAGGGTGCATAGAAACAGACAGACAGAAAGAAGGGCATGACAATATCCACTTATCTGTAGATAGCTATCAAAAATATTATATATATTTTAAAAAAGTTGAAAACATGTTTTCTTTCCATGCTTAATGAATTTCATGAAAAAATTATAATACAGTTAACAAGGCTATAAAAACCATAAGAAACTCCTGTCTTCAGATTGCCACCTTTCCGTATATAAACTTGTCAAGCTAAGTTCTTATCTCCCTTGTAGACGTGGGAGTCACAAATGCTTTTCAATTGGAATTTATGTTCGACTATTTATCGAGTTATCGAATTGCGCACTGCAAATAACATGCAACGTAAAACAAGTATTCAGTAAGTGTGACTCACCTGTTATCACTCTCGTACAGTTAATGTTCTTTGGATATAGGTTAGGATATTCGGGGCTGTAAAGCTCGTTCTTGGTGGGATCTCCCTCAACGAATAGCCTGCAACGGTCCACCTGATCCTCTTCTACCTGGCGCTCGTAACGTCCCGCCCGCGGCGTCCGGGAAATGGTCAACGCCTGCTCCTCATCGTCCAATTGGCTTATGGGCGTGGCAAATGCTGTGCTGTTGGCGGTGGTGTTCACCTTAGCTTGGTGGTCTCGATCGCGTGCCTTTATTGTCAGTGGGGCCAAGTGTGTTGATTCGCTTGGGTCGGCTAGGGGGGTATAAAGAAAAGTGGAAACAAGGCTTAGACACTGCTGCCAGAAGATGTCAGCTGGATTTATGCGAGATACGTTTCGCATATTTTTATGAAATTTACGGGGTATTATCATAAAAATAATCATGAGGATTAAAATTTATGCCAGAATAGCGTTGCTTTTTATTAATAATGCGCATAACTTTTGCTGCAACAGCGAATAAATAAACTTTTCGCTGCACCTATGCAGCAGCTGCAAACTTTACGCACTTGTTACGGCAACATGAGTTATCCCACATCCGCCTTCCAGCTGCCAACCGCCACCTGCCGCCCCACACCGCCCATCAAATGGCCCCCAAAAAGTAGGCAATGCACATTTTTAAAGCCTCAACTCTTTCAATTCGCACTCGCCTACACAAACTCAAACTCGTACTCGTACTCGCACTCATACTAACTTGTGTATACTCATAGACTCGTTTAAGTATATTTGAACTGTCGGGGCAAGTAACAGTGCAGTTGCAGCTGTAACGCAACTGTAACTGTAGCTGCGTCTAAACAACAATCGTTAAGCCCATGTAAAGTGGCCCAAAGCACACACGGCAGTTACAGCGCTTATGTGTGTGAGTGTGTGTGTGTGTGCCTCGAGCACTTTTTGTAGGGCATTGCCATTTGCAAGCCAAAATAGTCTGTAGAGATTGTGAGCGACCTTTAGTTGCTCTTTAAAGCAATAAATATATATGTAAATAAAACTGTTTGTATTGACCGATTGATTGACTGACTGGCTGATGACTGTGCACAAGTTAGCTTATGTGATTTTAGTGAACGCTATGGAAAGGATCCTATAAACTCCACCTTCAACTGTGGAAAATTAGTGGAAATGGTTGTATGAATCTTCTTTGTGTACCATATCATCTGCTTCAAGCTCATTTTCAAAGCTCTACATTATAAAACACGGATAAGAAAGGCAACTTTTATATTTCATCCGATCGAAATCAATCGTATTATCTATGAAAAATATAAATAAAATAATTATCATTGATAACGAGCGAAGTTTAATTTAATTTTATTTCAAGGGAAATTTAAATTCTGTAGATAGTGATAGGTTCTCATTAATTCAATTGGGCCCGAATTCAGTAATAATTAATTAAATTTTGTTGGCCTTTTGTTACCACAAAGTTCTTTAATGATTTGCAGAGCTGTGTGTGTGTATGTGTGTGTGTGTGCGTGTGTATATTCAAGCGCCTATACTTATATCGTTTATGGCTCCTTTTGCTGCTGGCAAGTGTAACATGCATTTGCACAAAGTTTGAATTACCTCAGTATACTTTTTATGAGGCGTAGAGTATTAACGCCCAGTGGCACACACACACAAACATGCGCACGCATATTAACAGTACATTCTCTCAATGTGTGTGTGTGTGTGTGTGTATGCGATTGCCAAAGTGTTTGCGCCGCATTATATGGCTGCTAGTGCCTAATGATGTAGCAACAAATTTAATAAACATATTAAGTGTTGATGTTTTTGTAATCGCACAGCCGGCTCCACCCACCGCCCGCTACGTACTACGCAATGCCACTTTTTGCCGTAGGTTGATGTTATTGCTCTGTGCGCCGCATGTGGCATCTATGGGTTAATACTTGCTAAAGTATGCATGGGTGTGCGATAGTGTGTGTGTGTGTGTGTGTGTGTGAGTGTGCGCGTGCTCTATATGGCATCCATTTGCCGTATGTCAGAGCTGCTTATTTCCGTTGCCACTGTCGATGCTGCTGCCACTTGTCGTTGTTAGCATCGTGCGACAATTTGCAACATAAATTAAATTAAACGCAAATTAATTTTAACAACAATATTAAATACTATTTCTCATATTGCTTCTATGTGCATATACTGCCAACAGTATGTATAGGCTATTGCTACTTGCATCCATTAATCAGACGAGCAAACCGAGTTCAAACTTGTTGTAAACTCTTCAATTAAAACATGCCTTATTTTAAGACTAGCAAAATGAAATGCTTGAGTCTATTTAATTTGATCCCATTATTATTAATGGCATGTCTATGGTGTGTGTATGCACGTATGTGTGTGTGTGTGTGTGTGTGTGTGTGTGTGTGTGTGTGTGTGTGTGTGTGTGTGTGTGTGTGTGTGTGTGTGTGTGTTTTGGTTGATTGGATTTATTGACTACCTCTGGCTTCGTTAAGGCCAGTCTAATTAAATAGATGGCTGCATCTATTAATTAGTATTTCCATAGTCTTAACCATAAATTTTATATGATATTTTGGTATCTATTCCTATACAGGTAATATTTACATACCAATAAATATATTCATGATAATTCATGTCACTTGATATTATGAAATTCGCATAGAGGAGGCATGTTGAACAAAAGTAAATGCTCGATTGATTTTCTATTCAAGCTCAACGTCATGTCGACTCATGCTGATTTTTAATACAATCTTGAGCAACTCGCTCAATTAGCACACAACTTATTAATTTATATAACTTTTAATTACTTATATGATGCCCAACCCGAACAGCCTGAGCATTTTGTTCCCATTTATTGGAGCTGGCGCACTTTCGTTAAGCCAGCACAGTGAGTTTCGCCTGCTCATTGGCGGGCTCAATGTTTGCTTCGGGCTGTTTGTCCTTTTTGGGCCACCTCATCAGAGACTGTTTCTTGATGGGTTCGCACTTTCGCTCAGTTTGTGTCTTTAATTGCGCTTTTAAGTGTGACTGATTGTATTGACACTTGCAGCCCGGGCTGCGCTGGCACTTTATTGAATTGCCTCGGCAAAGAGGGAGCCGTAAATGGTATGCGAGGGCGGAACCTGAGCAGGTGGCGACGCGAAAAGCCCATTTGCCACTATGTCACGGGAGCTTAGCAAATGTGTCTGGTGGTGTGGCGGCGACTGGGTTGCTTAATTGTAAATTTAACACGCTTCACCCTACCGCCCCTCGCCCCACGCCCGTTGTCCGTCCCTACGCATTCCCTTGAAATGCCACACACATTGTCGTGGCCTCGTTATTACCGCACACAGCAGCTGCGCTTGTTCACACTTTTGTTTTAGTTGTAATACCCTTGTCGATCTGCTTTTGCGCCCATAAGTTTAACTTTCAACTTTTGGTATCCGCACCCACGCACACATACACATACACACACACACACACACACACGCGCGCGCGAGCACACACGCACACACTTGATTTAGCCGAGCTCAGTCGCTGTTCATTTATATTCATATTTGCATGAGTGTGTGTGGGTGTGCGTGTGTGTGTTTGTGCGCGTTAGCTGTTTGGCATTTACGTATCTTAGCCCTGCCACGCCCCATACAGCCTCCGCTGCCGCTGGCATCCGCATGTATCGCCATCGTCGCCGTCATCGTCGTCGTCGTCGTCGTCGTCGTCGTCGTCGTCGTCGTCGTCGTCGTCGTAGTTGTTGTTGCATGTATTTCATTCGCAGCAGTTATTTGCTTTAATACACTCAATAGACTTAACACATTTTGCACGCCTCACTTCATCCGGTGGCAGCGGCAGCGGCGGCATGTAGGCAACACCGAGCGGCATACCGCCCCTCGCTGTGGCACAACGCACCGCCCGCTGTTCTGTAGTTTTCTGCAATAAATTTTGCATTTTGCTTGCAGCGCCAGTGACAACCAGAGACAAGGAGAGGATGGAGAGAGGGCGGGGCATTGGCATTGCTTTGCCTGCGACATTCCATTTTTGTGTCAGACAGCTCCGACTCCAGTTTATACGATGTATGCATGTGTTTGCCCCTACTCAGCCCTCCTCCCCACCCCCTGGTCGACACCACTCGGTTACTGTGACTTGTCCATGACTGTGTGCATATTTATAGTTTTGTATTGTCTGCTGCCGTCGACGCTATTATCAAAAACAAAAAAACAAAAGCTAAACTCTTATGCGACGAAGTCGAACATTTTATATCCTTGGCAAGACGTTCTGTGGGGACTTTCATTTCTGGCCCATATGCCAGGGGAAGCCATAAAATATGAAGCCTTGGGCATGGTAAACTGGTTTCAAGTCGATCTTATTCAATAATTCTTAGTTTTTATATTTCTCTAACCAGCAAATAATCCGAATATCCTATTCATATTGGTAAAGGATGGAAGTGCAAGTATATGAGGCAGATTATCAGCATTGTTGTAGTAACATATAAAAGTAGGCTCTCGCGAGTTTTCACTGCTTATAATTCTCAAGTGTTTATAGCCTCGAGCTGGCAAGAACGGCTGGCAAGCCTAGAGCTCGGAAGCAAAATCTGCTGGTTATAGAAATGTTAATTTGGATTATAGCCTACTGATAATAATATTTTTATATCATTTTTATATGTAAATTAAAAGAGAATTTATTAAAATGTTTTAAATATTTTAATTGTCAAAGCAAACGAATCATTTTTAATTTAATTAATTTGCCTACGTCAAGGAGTTGCATTTTATATATTTTTATTAAACTAAAAGCTAGAAAATGATTGTAATACTTTTTCTCCAAACGCTCAGAAGTTTACAGTTTGACAAATATTTAAGTTATTCATATGGTAAAATAAATAATAACGTAAACAGTATTGAGTAACGTTAGAGAGATGCAGATAGCGAGGGGTGGGGAACAGAATGGCTTCAATGGGGGAAGCAAAGCCATTGTTAGCTGCATAAAATGAAACTGATAAGGACATCTGCAGATAAAGTTATTATTATTATTAAATGCATGTGTAACTGCAGCAGGAAAACATAATATCCGAAAGATGATTGCCTGCCAGTTGACTTTGGCTCCGGCTCTGCAGTAGCTGCTATAAGGGCTTGCTAAGTAAACAAATATTGTATTGTATTTTAGTTTTACAGCAACAGCAGCATATGCCAAAGGACCTACTCAACAGACAAGGTTGTCTGTCATAAGTTACTAATTGGTTACGCTGCCAGCTGTTGAGCCAATGTCTGCTGCTAGTTGAACAACTCTTGAACAAATTAGACCCTAATGCATATGTGTAACAGTAAGAGTTTAATACTTGCATAATGAGATGAGAACAAGAAAGCTTTCTAAAAATCGTTCTTGGTTAAGTATCTTAAGCAGCGTTTAAGCAGCGGGCGAGCGTGTGAGAGGGTAAATATTTGAGAATATTCTGTGCAACTTAGGAACGGAACTCAACATAGTTGCGGCATTTGCCATTTTCAACAATACGAGCATTCAAGCTGGCAGCTTCTCGGCACAACACATGTCGTGTACGCCCTGTTGTCGTGCGTTTTGATGGATTTGCAACTGGTTTCGTGAAATGCCAGTTTCGAGCATATTTGATTTTTACATTTAACATTTGAGGCTTAGAAAATCATTTGTGGGGGCGTCTGCCATCGAGTGGACAACACGTTGCGGTTGAATGAAGCTTCTCGGCTCATAAATCATCAATATTTGACAAAAATTTAACTGATGATTGATGACAACAGACATTCTTTAAATTGGCCAAGCAAATGAATTTCTCAAGAATTCAATTTGTACATTTAGTTATTTAATATTTTATTTATATAACTTTGGCGTTTCTTGCAGTTGCGATTGACTTTAAGACACGTTTCTGTTAAGCATTGGAAACACCTAAAATTGTCATATAACATTGTGTCGACTATTTGACTAGCAGTAAATTAAGCATAATATATATTGATAATTATGAATTTCCAATTCAATTAGAAACTGGGTCACAAATATGAAGTGCTTGTCAAGGAGCATAGACTTGTGCAATAAAATTGACTTGAGTCGCCTTTGGGTCTAACTTAGGGAATTTCCGGGAATGATTACACTCCAAATTGGCCCCATGCTAACGCTGGGCAAAATTTTGTGCTCCTGTTGCATTCTCGACTGTGAAATGTGCAATTTGCAACAGACGAGTGCATCTGCGGAACGCTACTCGCAATTAACATTGAAAAAGCTGCACTTAATGACTTGCGACTAAGAGGCCATATAATTACCAGAAACAAACAGACAGAGCGTGGGAGTATAGATAGATATATAGGAGGGAGAGTGGAGGCAGCGAGCGAGAGAGAAAAAGATTTTAACAATTTATTGTTGTTCTTTATGTAGCGCAAATACCTTCGTATTGTGCATTTCAACAATTTAAAGCTTAAATACATGAAAACAGCTTAAGTTGAATGCAATTACAAATGAAATATTGATGTTCGCAGCTGAGCGAGGGCAGTTTATATTGTTTGTGACAAAACTCCGTCGAGCCAAACTTGATTAGTTGAGTGTGACGCGCCAGAGTTCGAGCTTGGGCTCCTAAATGTCAAAGGTTTGGATAACGAGGCTGGGCTTTGCCTCGAGCCTTAAGCCGAACCACTGAAAAGTTTTGTTGGGTTTACAGACTTGAAAATTTCTTGGAAAATCGTTCAAAAATTTGAGTACATTTTTTTTTATTCCACTATTTTGGGAAAAGCCCAAGCTTACCTTTGTTAGCTGACCTTGTGGTTAGCGATTAAGGTGCATCCGCCAAAAACGCAGCGATATGAATTTGTTGCAAGTTTTCACGGCTGACGGGCCATTATTTGTAAGTGGCAAGTACGTCATTCAGAGGAACTTCAACAACATCATCGTCATCCTTGGCCTGGGAGCTATTTCTGCCTTGCTTGACGATGTCGACTTCAATATAATGGGCCAGGCGCAACAATAACTGCGTGGCAAATGCGGCAGCCAAATGCAGCTCCAAAGTTTGCCAGCATCGAGAGAAGATGTGGATGTGGTTGTTGATGTTAATGTGGATGCGAATGCGGATGCGGATATGTGGCACGAGCATGACAAACCCTTCTGGCAAAACGCCCCGATCAAGAGATTCCTTCGTGTTTCTGAATTTCAATTTGCTGTTGTGCAGCGCCCATAAATAAAATCTGTTTTTTTATTTTCGGCATAAGAAGCTGCCAAGTGTGGCGCACTCAGAGACACACAAACTCTGTGGCAAGCCCAGCACCAGCCCCTCCTCTCTCGCACCATCTTGAGACTGGCTGTCACTCATTGACGTGCTCGTTTCGCCACAATACAATCTGATGTTGCAATTAACAGTAGGACGTGCAGTCTGGCAACATTTGGCGTATATTGTTTAATTACCCATCATCGACTATAATTTGTCATAAATTTAACAATTATTCCAGCTGGTAATCATATGTCAGCCTGTGATAAGATTGACAGGCCTTAAATTATATAGAATGCAAAGGGAAAGTCACAAAGAGAGCACTCTATTGTTATGCCTGGGGCTCCCCAAGTGAGCAAGAGTTGCTCGACCTACCTTATGATGAGGGGCACTAGTACGCTGAAGGAGAAGCAGACAATTTCTTTTCCCCCTCGTATATTGGCTGCACAGTTAGCAACAGCAGCTGCTGCTGACGACAGTCTCAGCAGCCTGCCATAAGTTTTGGCCTCAACTGCAGCTTGGCTATTCATGAAGATATTGATGATGGTTCCTGTTAGGCTCTCTTCAAGATTTTAACTTGAACAAACCTCAGTGGTAATGTCCAAAGTTCCCAGCAGCCGGACTTGAGCAACTAATATAAAAATATATTGGCTGGATTTCCGTTTGATATCGGTTTGATTAAATGTCAACTGTTGTTTTCACACAACAATTTTTTCCTATTTTTTTTTGTAATTTTCCAGAATTTTTGTGAGATATATTGCCCAGCCAAGATCAAAGCACAATGACACATCAATTTTTTTATTTTGTCAATTAACCCGTGATACGGATTTATAGGGATACAGCAGATGAAATTGACCTGAAGCTATTATATAGCTGATGTTGCATATTAAACAAGGTAAACGGATGAAACAAACACAAACACAAACACAATCCTCTTATCCGAATATCTCCCAATTGAATTCCAATTGATTCGTGCAAAAACCAATAAATGTGCAGTATGTGCATTTATTGAATAAACCATTTTAGGAATGGTTCTGCTCTATTTACATAATTCAGAAAGCATTGAAGATTTACGTTTTGCTATTTGAGCTGGGCACATGTCAGCATTTCAATTGGGATTCAATTTAATCGGATTGACTAGGTATTTTTTTTGGCGATTAGCGCCTGAAAGTTGCAGGTTGTATATTAGAAAATGTTTATTATGTACATCAATATGACTATGAACAGTCAGGCATACTCAATTGTGGTTGATTTGAGTGCTTAATGCGGGCACTTTTTTTTGTGTTTTGTGCATGACAAATGCAATTTACAATAGGGACTCGTTGATTCGGACAAAACCCACTGTCAGCCAACCCACCACAACTAGTTGATCCGCTTGTCAATCTGTCAAGCCAAAGTAAATATTTACAGTGGAATAATTCCCAAGTGCATGGCGACAGTATGCCAAAAATCAGCCAAGTGTATCGCATGGCTTAGTAATGACTGACCAAAGGACTGTCAGAGCCACAGACCCGATGCCAAACAATAATTTGCTTATACTGTGGTAAGAGTAACTCTTTTTTTTTTCTTTTTTCTTTTTGCTTCTTTGCACTTTTCCGTCGCGGCAAAATTTTCGAAATTGTTAAATTGAAATGAAATGCCCGACAATTGAATTGCGCCAAGCAAATGGAGAGGCAGGCTCATGTCAAAGCCAACGGCAATAGCAAAGGCAAATGGCAAAGCGAATACGAAGCGACTGGCTAGGGTAGACTGCAGTGTAGAGGATACGGCATAGAGGCACAGCAAAGCCGCGACAGCGCCAACGTCGACGATGACGACGACGACGACGACGATGATGATGATGATGATCTATTAACCCCAACTGCGTCCAAGTGCGATTGGATGGTGGAGGCACATGGCGTTGGACGTGTTGCCAGTGACGTGGCCTGCCACCGCCGATGCCACCGTTGCTGCTGCCATTTTAATTTGCGTGAAAGCGCAAAAAGATTTCAAAATTAAATCAGTGTGCGGCGGGAAGGACAACGCTTCCCCGTCAGGACAGCTAGGCGCGCTCACTGCAATTGAGACCAGCAGAAAACGTAGCGTAACGCACCAGATGGAACTCTTTTTAACACACATGAGCTGCACTGTGCCCGAGCTCAATGAATCTTTCCACTTGCCCAACCGCCCCCAAACACACATTCTATGTGTGTGTGATAGAGCCCAAAATGAAAATCTGCAGGCAAACAGTCAATGTAATACGGCAAATTTGATTTGGATGGGCTGCGTTTCACACTGGCTGCTGCTTTTTATGTCCGCTTGTTGAAAATTTGTAGCCCCCCCATCTGAGTGAAATATATCGAACACAACAGGTGAGCAAAAGTGCTACCAGCTGTCAGAATACTAGATGACGCTGGGACTAACACAGCACAAAAATATGAATATCGAGCTTTAATGGCGAGAAAACCGAACTGCTCGACATATACGCAATAAGCTCGTTACACGCGTAAATGGGGAAACTTCATAACACGCATATTTTATCAATATTTAATGTGTTCGAGGTGTTTAAATTTTAATTTTTCATATTTTTTTTATAAAAGCGCAGTATAAAAGGAAATTTGTGTATGTAGATGTGCTGTATCGAGCAAATTTTTATAAATGGACAAAATTTATATTATAATTATTATTTATTGCGGCCAACAATAATTGAAATGGAAAAAGGTATTTATATCTTTCGTGCAACCAATTTTGATTAGACGTCATCTTTTATTTTCATAAGTATATTAAAATTGAATAATAAATCAAAGCCCTAATCTTACCAATTAAAACGAACATGGCTTGAAAATAATCAATTGAATATGTAATTAACAATTGTTCGTTCAATTGTTTTATTGAACTTGTGAACTTGGGTTTAAGCTTTTCTTAAAATTGAATTTACCATTTTATATACGCTTCATCCATTTTCATGGTTAAAAGGAACAGGAAGTCAATTGTCTAGCCGTTGACAAAATAGGTACAATCCGAGCTGTGGCAGGTCGATAAGGCGACCCGTAGTTCGTCTCAGAGTACTCTAGGGTGTAGTCTAGGTTGTAGACGTTATACTCTTCGTCGTCACGTATTGCTGGTCAGCTTAGAGACGAGTCGGTTAGCACGGATCCGCAGTCTGTCTGGACTGGAGTGCCCATTGAATTGGGCACAGACTGGAGAAACGCCCAGATCTTTGTAAAGAGTACTATTTCGGATATACCAGGAAGCGCCCGACATATTTTTATTTAAAATAGCGCTTTGGGATAACCCAAGTCCAAGCTGGCATCAATATAGTTATATGTTAATATTTTACGTGGTAGCAGAAAGTCACTATGTTCCCCTCAGATTGCGTGCTTTTAAACGAGCTAGTTGTTCTACAATGAACCCGTTCTTGAACACTATTAAGATCCATGTTTGCTTGTTTAGCGGTTGTTATTACCGATCTAACGTCAGCAGCAAAAGCACAGCTCATTTAGCAATGTTTATTCGTCAGCTTATGAAGCTGTCTATCTATTAAAAAGTAAGCGGACATAGAAACTGATAAATAAAATGCATGGCCAAGAATAATAGCCGCAAGGATTGAGTGTTACTAGCGAACTGAACAACGCCAACAACAACCAGAGCGCAGCTAAACAGTAGAGCAGAAAAAAATGAAAACAAACAAAAAGAAAAGCCAAAGAAAATATTACAAATAAATAAGTGAAGAGGACAGCAAACATCCTGTACGCAACACAATGTCCACTGGCACAGAAAAACTGTCTGTGGCGGCAACGAGAGTGTGAGGCGCGGGGATAGCATGTCGTTGGATGGACGCATTGTTGCCAACTTAGATTAAAAGTGATAGCCAGCAGCGTTCGCAGCGCGCCAATTGAGAAAGCAATCACAAAAACGCACTGAGGCCGTGGGTTGGAGATATAGCAATGCAAAGGCGGCTGTCTGAGACTGGGAGATACCCTGTAAGCCGATCGAAAGTCTGCTCAGCATTATTTTACAAGCAACTACGGAGTGCATACCCTAACTTTATGCACTTTTCAGAATAGTTGCACTATTGGATACCCTGTGTGATATGCGCTTAAGATGCAAGGAAAAAACGAACGATGATAGGGTGGGAAAACAGGAGAAAACGGAAAATAAACGGAAAATGGGAACGCGAACGGGATAAGCGACAAAAACTAGCGCGCTAGAGAAAAACAATTTATAATTGAAATCAGTGTCAAGACAGAGCCACAACAAGAACAACAACAGCAACAACAACATTAGCAAAACAAGCTAAACCAAGAAAAAGAACAAGAACACACAGGCATGTTGCTGCAAGCGGCAATGGCAATGGGGCAAGCGTTGCGGCACTTAACTCAAATGGCCAACAGCTGAGAAAGAGAAAATGGTAGGAAAAAGCGCGTTAGCTGCTGAAATTAGAGGCAAAAATAAAAACACAAATTAGCTAATGTTAAATAAAGCCAATTTCGTTAAAGTTGTGCAATCTGCTGCTGCTGCTGCTGCTGCCGTTGCACGAGGGGCACTGTCAGCGACAGCGGACCCAGGCACAGATATGAGCCCCCAGAGGCAATGGCAATGAGTCCCTTCATAATTGGGTCAACTCACATTTGGAGCAAAACTGGCAAATGCGACGAGCCGTAAACAGAGAGGCATAAAAACAGCTTCGAATTTGAGATATTCTTAAATGCCAGCCAACTCTTCCAACTCTCGCTCTAAACGCTTTAAGTTCCATTAAATTAATTGTCAATTAGATGGTCGGCGGGGCGAATGGACGAGTGGGTTAAACTTAAAATAAAGTGGCATCAATAATTTAAGGCTCTGGCCATGCATAAGGAAAATATTGCCGTTCAAAGTCAAATGTATTAGAGAGCAAAAAGACAATTTCAATGCGATTAGGTAATAGATATATATCTTTATATTTATATAAATATTTATCTACGGCTTACTCGATGCCTATTCAATGAATCTTTTCTACTCTTGCTGCAAGGTTCTCCTTAGTCAAGCACACAACTGTTTTCTTTTTTTAGGAAGCGTCTTAATCTTACATCTGATCTAAAAATCTTAAACCCTTTCTCTCCGCAATCTGTTGTTAACACACATCCAGTAATTGTGACCTTGCAGCATTTTTGTTAATGCTAATGGCTCATTCAATGTTGAATGCAGCTTAAGATCTTGGTAATGCACGAGCTAACCCATTAACATGAACATATGGTCTCATTAGAAGGACTAATGAGAATGAGTGCCGCTTCTCAATAGATATCGCTGCCACGGACCACGGACCAGCTAGCAGTTGAGATTAATGATGGTAATAAACACATATCTAACTAAAAAGTGTGGAGTTTAGAAGCAATTAAATATAAATGATTGATGGATTTAAGAGTTATCCTGTTCCGCTGGCTAATGTGGTAACAATTTATTTTATATCCCACATAAAAACACAGTTTGCGTTAACATAGCATAAAATTTACTTCAAATATTACAGTGAATTAGCTCTTGATTTGGCTAACAAACCCGAGCTTTAGAGGGGGCCTAATTAATGGACCAGTACTGGAATGGGAAGCACTTTTGCCAGTTTCCAATTTCAAATAAATATTCAAGGCCAACAAATAATTGTAGGGAGCAGCAGAAATGTACGCTCCAGTTGATTTCCAGAGGCGATGAACCGAATTTGTTTGTCTATTGCCTTTTAATTCGTTTGGTTTTCAAGGAAAACCCAGCCTGAACTCATTATTATGCAATGCAATTTGATTAAGCTGTTGATAGTGTTGTTGTTGGCATTTTAAGTTATGCATATTTAAATTGAATTCAGCTTTTTAGTTAGTTTTCGATATTCAATTTAAGTGCCACTCCCCCGCTTTAATGCCAGACATGACACGTGAAGGGCGAACCTTTGACATTTTTTTCTATCTTTTTTTTTTTGGGTTTTTAGATTTCCGTTCAGATGCTCCTGTGACGAAGCTTAGCATCTTCTGAGGATTGCAAATTATTCCGGATCTGGTACCATTTTTCATGTCAAAATTATTTAATTATTGGTGAAGCGGAAAAAAAATGCAGACAGGAATGTTCAAAGTAATCAGCCTAACGTCTAACAGATACCTCGCAGTCACAAAAATATATAAAATATTTTAATTGTGCGTAAATTTCAATCTCAATTTCATCAGAAATGTAGCTGACATCAGCAGATTTCCGTTATTGCTGATGTTTGATGTTCAATTAGACGTGATCATAATTTAGGTACAATTTGATAATGCTAGTTCTATTTTTTAATTTCATTCCCATACACGTTCTGGTCAAGACACAGGGTAGCATATATAGCGCCCACGTTGATTGTGTAAACGTAAATGTATCCCAATGTGATGCTCCTTCTATTTTTCTGCTCTGGGCTGTTGTATAAAGGTCGTGTTTTTGTCATGTATTAATTTTCCGTCAATCCGGAATAGCAAAAACGGGCAGGCGGCGGGCGGCCGGCGGCCGGCAGCTGTTATCGTTATCCCAAAAATTCGATCTCTTCTCCTCTATCATCAGCGCCTGCCAGGGGCCACAAGCAAATCTGAAGAGGGCCGTTAAGTGGGCTTAATTGTTATGGCTACAGTTGTGAGTGATGCTTAATTCGCAACCAGAATAGTAAACATTATTGCTTTTTCCAATTAAGCTTCTAAGTACCATGTTGCCCTCCCGGGAAGCACTTTAAATAAATTAGATTTCAAATATCGAAAGGGCTCTTTCATTTCTTTTTATTTATTTAATTTCGTTACATTTCGTGCATTCGCAATACTTTTATTACGTTGTAATAAATATCCACAATATTTGCAATTAACAAACAAAGAAGCCTATACATTTTTTTCCCAGCAATTTTGTTGTGCAGCAACTTTGCTTACCTTTGAGAAATACTTTACACTTGACAAGGGCAAATCTCAATTAAATTTATGGAGTGCGATTTAAAAATATATACGGCTTGTTAATCCAACAGAAGCACGTATAAAATGACAAAATATTCTGAGAAATATTTCAATCAGTGCATTTGAAATATATGAAAACTCCGTCATGCACATGGGAAATACATATTTACAAGCAATTTCATATACCTTTTGCGCTCATATATATCAAAATGCATTTAAGTGTGAAAATATCATATTTAAACATCAACTGACAAGAATTTTTTAATAACTTTGATGTTTATATTTCTACTGTTGAGCTGGAGCATCAATATTGAAAGGTCAGTTGTGCAAATTTATCTCTCCTTTATTTTTTCGATAGTTTAGTAAGCTGATTGATAAAATACTTGGATTTTATTCAAGGTAATATCTTTCAAATTTTGGCCAAAGGGGAGCAAATAGACTGAATCTACTAGTAATGAAATAAGTAATAAAAAAAATGGCCAGTAATGAATCTACCTCATTTTCTTAAATTTTGGAAAATACGAAAATGTGTGTAATTCATGATTGAGCAGTTTTTTGATGAAATACTTTTTCTTTATTCAATTTATTTACTTCAAACTTTGGCCAGAAGGAGCAGATAAATCGGATCGACTAAAACTTAAAAAAGTGATGAAAAAGGCCAGTTGTGTAAATTTATCTCCAGTTCCTAAATTTTGTAAAATACAGAAATGTGTTTATTTGATGATTGAGAAGTTTATTTGGGAAATAAGTACTTGTATTTTATTCAAGGCAATATTTTATCAATTCTGGCTAGAAAACTGAGCAAAATAAAGTGGATCTACTAGTCCCTAAATCATCAATTCTGAAAAGATCAGTTGCACAATTCGCCCAATTTTTGTTTCATTTTGGAAAATACGGAAAGGTTTTTAATTAATGATTGAGATAATAGTATGAATATTCTGCATAGCTTCATCGAATGGGCACGGCCAAATTGACTTCGTACCACGACAACTCTGGCTATACAGTGTTGCCACATTTTCTAATGGATTTTACCAACTTCACAAAATAAACAAGTAAGAGCTTCTAGTCGGGAGCTCCCGACTAGGGGATACCCTGAACCCTCTTCTTCCAACATCAAATGCATATATGTATATATTCTATTTTAGAAGCTATATGTCAAGTTTGGTGACTCTAGCTCTTGTTATTTACCAAAATTGGCCAAAAAAGAGGATATCGATATAGATTTTTATCGATTGCTTGGAAACGGAGTAAGTTATCGATTATCGGAAACAAACTCGATCTGTGCGGGAACTAGGAGCATCTTCATCTAAAATTTCTCTATCTAAAAGTCTATAGCTCTTATAGGTTCTGAGATCCTTGCGTTCATATATACGGACGGACGGACGGACGGACATGGCTAGATCGACTCGGCTATTGATGCTGATCAAGAATATATATACTTTATGGGGTCGGAGAAGCTTCCTTCTGCCTGTTACATACATTTGGATTTTGCACAAATACAATATACTCTTATACCTATTTTTAATGGGTTCAGGGTATAAAAAGTGTCAAGAAAACATGAAACGTGCTCAAGCTCAAGCAACAAGCTAAACTTTTTATACATGAATATTAAAAAAGTTCACTAAAGCCTATTAACGCTAAGCAGTAATATTTAATAAAATCGATGCTTTTTATATTGTATACCATATATATATATATATATATATATATATATAAGTATATATACGGTATAACGAAATATAATATATGTATATAACATATCTCTATATAATATATGTATATATATATATATATATTTCGTTGACCAGAATTTGGCTGCTTGCCACATGCGACAATTTGGCAACGGGGAAAGTTTTCCTTTGCCGCATGACCTTGACTGCAGTGAATGCAACTGTCGGCCATTTCGGTCACGCACACAAATACACATACACACACATAATACATACACACACACACGCACAGCCGTAAAAAAAAGTTGTTTGGCAAAAGTTTTGAGTTGTTTTTACGTTCGATGTGAAAATGCGAGTCAATTAATTACAGGCCAGCGAGAATAAAAGTATACCAAATCTCTAGCTCGCTTTCTGTCTCTGTCTTCCTCTGTCGGCCCCTCTCTTTCAATCTCTCTGTACGTGTTTGGCAGGTTACTTTCGGAGGCATTCAATTCGTGGCAGCTAGCTGTAAATAGAGCGCCGCCACGGACATTGGGCGATATTTTAGGGATGCCACACAAAAACCTCAAATAAAAATGTTTGGTTTTTATGCCGGGGCAATTGGAGACATCAGCCAAAGACATGTGCCACGGATGAGCTGAAGCTCTCCGTCAGTCTCTGTGTATGTGTGTGTGTGAGTGTATGTGTATGTGTGTGATTGCATAAATAAGAGGGATAAATGAAAGGCTAATGAGGTCAAGCGGGCAGCGGCAATGGAATGTTTTATATTCGACACATTCACTTTTGCCCCCAGTTGAGAGCCACTTATCTCAATTGTTGGTCTGTATGTGTGGCTGTGTGTAGGTGTGTGTAAGTGTGTGCGATGACTCTTGATAAGAATCGGGCTATGGTAGTTGTGTGTGTTTCTTTGTGTGTGCGTGTGTGTGTGAGGAGAGAGCACACTTACCATAAACAGTCTGGCCAACAATTAGCAGCATTAGCAGCCAGCAACCAGGCTGGGGCATAATTCCACATAACCATCTGCCGATGCTCCTCATCTTGTGCTGCGTCTGCTGGTGACAGTCCAGTTGTTGTCTTTGTGCTATCAGCAGCTACTGGTCCACTGCTTCACGGAGCCGCAAAACCCACAAAGCTGCTGTAGGTCGGGCAACACCTGCAGCCCTCCGGGCCTGGGCCTTGCTAAGCGCGCACGCCTTCCAGCCGTATCTGTAATGGGAAGTTTTTATGAGATATTATAAACTCGACATATAAGTAACCATACGTTAAAAAAACATTTTATCCATTTGGAATTTAAGTTTGATAAATGTATGTTTAAAATGACAATTGGCTTTAGTGGGCTCTTTATTTAAAATAGTTTAATGAACTTTTATTTTGCTCGCTTTGCTGTTTTTGCGTTGCTTGACGCTTGCAATTCCCAACAAGCTAAAGCTTCGACCAGCTAATAATTTTTTTTTTTGAGTACTTTAACATTAGCTGGGTGCTGTTTCGGAATAACTAGGCGCTATTTAACAATATCTTTTCATCTTAGCAGTATATTGCCTGACTATTGAGTTAAGCTTAATGCACGGGCAACTTGTTCGCTTTGGCAGCAGTTACCCAAATGGATTGTGCGCCTGCTTGTCTGCGGCTATGGAAATTTTGCGAGTACTTAACGCCACGAGCCGCCTAGGACAAGTGAAGCGAAAAAAATGCGAAAAAGACAACCACACCACATCTCCTGCTCCATCGCCCAAAAAAAAAAACGCACAGTTGAGGCGTGTAATCAAAGTGTCTGATATCAAAGCAAGAAAAGCGACGACGACAAAGTTATGCATAAATTTTGGACGCCAACTCGACTGAGCGCAAAATCAATACAGGAAATAAATTAGTTTCGGCTCAAAAGCCAAAAAGCCAAACGAAAAACAAAACAAAATGTAGGCGTGTTGTACTCAAATTCCTATTCGTGTGCGGTTGCGAATTCAGATTTGAACACACGGCTACGGATTCGCAAAAGCGGACAAAAAAAAAACACGTACCAAAGGGCGCTGCTTATCTACTGACCCTGGTGGCATCAAGTGAATGACATTGTGTTGTTATTTTTGCTGTTGTTGTTGCTGCTGCTGTTGCTACTACACTGCGGTCGCACGACCATTGTTTTGCCAGCCTGTGCGCCCCTGGGGGCTTACTGTTGGAATGGGGAAGGCGGCTCTAGAGCCTAATAATAGCCGCACATAAAATTTTATTAGCCAGAGCGTAACAATTCAATTGGGTCATGCTTTATGGCGCCACTAGCCGCATTTTAAAACCAGCCATCGATGTGGGTCAAACGGCAAACGGCAGGTGCCGCGTCCACCTGTCACCAAATAACAAAGAACAGCCTAAAGAATAAACGAAAGTAAATAAACCCTGTGTAGTCACAATTGAACTCTGTAATAAACTTAAATTCAATTTCAACATCATTGCAGTTAGGGAACTCCTAGCCAAACGACAATTGGACATAAATTGCATTCGAATGTTTATATGCAACTTTCAATGCACAGAGCTTCAATCGTCTATACATACATAATTTAGATAACGTATGAGATTTAATTCATATGCTCCGCAACGTTTTAAACAACTTTTCCTTTTAAACAGCAATCAGCATCGCCTTTCTATGCAATCCTCAACAAGATGTTGATGTTATATCTATGTATTCATTCTGTTAAATGGCACATCGCCTTTCTATGCAATTCTCATTGAGTTAGGGTGGATCACCTTTTGGGAAAATTACTGCTCGAAGAGTTCTCCCCCATGGACTATTACTTGTCTTGCGCGAATGTGTCAAACTTCTCAACCGTTTCCTTTGTCATCAATATGCAAAAATTTATGCAGATATGTAGTGCTATCAATTTCGCATAACCTATGCTTATGTTTTTCCATATGTTTATCTCTTGGTCACCCCATCCTCTGTTTAAGCGTGCACAAATGTCTTGTTCTTTATAGCGCAGGCGACACCGCATCTGACATAAAGTGTCGTAAAGTGCATTAGAGCGCACTTGGCACAACGTACGCACACACACAGCCACACACAGTAAACAGAAAAAGAAAAAGCCGGAAATCAGCATGTGAAACAAAAGCAATGCAGAGGCCGCCCTTGAAGCTGGAAAAGAAACGCTTGTGCATAAATATTCATGCGCCCACGCCCACAAGAGCCAACAACAACAGCACCCACAAGATCCATCAGACCCACCACCGTAGCCACCGTTGCCACCGTGGGCAGGGGAAACGGCAACTGGCAACGGTGCAAAGGCGCCGCAGATTCCGCATACTTTATGCCATTTCTGATTGTTTATTATTGCGACACAGAGAAAACACAGAACAGACGGTGTGTGGGATGGGCTGCATATGGAAAGAGTTCCAGCTGCCAAAGCAAAAGCATTTAAATGCCTTGGAACATTTATTGGCGTGTTTTACGCGCCATAAACTGAAATTCATAAACATTTTATGCACTACATGTGTAAATGTGTCTCCTCCGTCTACCTCGGCGTCTCTGTCTCTGTCCGCGCCCCGCGCCCACTAGCTGCACACTGCAGCTGCATACATGAGCAATGCTCTCTGGACCAACAGGGTCTTATTTGTAGCAGTTAGCCAATGCGAGCCCAATGCGCGAAGAAAACAACCAAAGAGTTCAACTTCGACTTCTGATTACTCTTGCGAAAAACAAGTGTATGACTTTTTTTGTTTACCAACCGATCGTATTCAAAATCATTTACATTTCATAAAGATTTATATGAAATTCATTTGATACGTGTTTCACACTTTTCAAAGGTGGAAGATGATGGTTTACTATATTAAATTTGTTTGTTGTTCAATGCAACATTTAAGCTTTTCTTATTGAATATATTGTAAGTAATATAAGTAAGTAATATAAGTATATAAAACCTACAATTAATTCAATTCATTATTAATTCTACATAAGTAAAAGACTTTACTTACTCACAATCTTAGCGAATATGCTCGGTTTGGTTCGATCTACACGCGTGCAACAGTTACCCAACGGGTATCCCCCAAAAAAAGGTAGCATACTTATGGGCGCAATGCTGCAGGCATTGCGCAAATGCGACATAAAAATTCATTTTATAGCTTGCGTTTTTATTGCCAACAGGCATTGTTTCCGCTGCTGATGCCACCAGCCGCAGCCACTAGGTAATTGTTACAAGCGTTGCCGCTGCTGCCTGCTTTTTGCTGCCGTTTTGCAGGTTTCACACAAAACGTTGCGCATACGCCACGCGGGCCTCATGCATATGCAAAGGCACTCGTGATCCGCTAACAGCAAGTGGCTTTCGCGTGTGTGCGTCGCAATGATAAGCGCATTTTAAGCTTGACTGGTTTCGACTGGCATTGCCGTTGGCCCTTGACATTGGCATTGTCTCCAGGCAATCGCCATCTGCCACTTGGTATTTCGATATCGCTTTTGCAGTCAATTTTGCTTCAAAGGCGCGATAATTGCCCAGCAGGATTTCAATAAGGTCAAAAGGGCATACCCCGTGTATGAATATTTTGCATTATAAATATATATATATATATACTTATATATATATTTGTATTAATATTTATGCACCTGCCACTCACTCAATTGAAATTACGCTTTCTTATTTTGGGCTCCACTTTTGTGCCATTTCATTGAGCACCGACCATGAAAATTGTTTTCATTTCCAATTATTATTTTTATGTGCATTCATTGTCTTTCGCCTTTGGCCTGCGCCTGGTGCCCACGCATGGTTTTATATCCCAATGCTGAATCAGCAGAAAATCACAAGTGCCCTTCAATGTACTTGATTAATTTGATCAAGTTCTCCAGACAAGGGGCTAGAAACTCACTCGCCAACTGCCAAAGCTGCCACCACCCCCAACTCCAAGCATAATCTTGACTTCATCGCTATCCCAATTACCTTCCATAGCATTAACAACACAGTCCTATCTCTGGCAGCCTTCCTCTCTTTTCACTTTTCCCATCTCTACCCATTATAGCTGCCTTCGCAGTCGCATGACTTCATGCCGCTTACGTGTCGCATCATGTGGGCTGAATAGAATTGAAACAAATTTGAACATGGCCCTGGCCATTGCGAATGCCACAACCTTCTCCCTGTTCTCTCGCATCTACATAACAGCAACAGCAACAACAACAACAAGTCAAATCAGAGCATCGGTTGGGGGCAGCGATGAACAAGGGAGCGGGCGAGAGCCTTTACACTGGCAAAAAAAACTGAAATTGTTAAAGATGAATACGTTTTTTTTAATACTATTTAAGCACATTTAAGATAAGCTTCTCAAATGCCGCTTCATTTTGTTTGACTAGTTTAGCTCTAAGGTAAAAAAAAGAGCGTGTTGCATATGGGCTAATCCGCAGCTCCGTGTTCCACTGTGCGTTTGTGAAGCGTTGAAATTAGCTCCTACTCCGAACTGTGTCCTGCGTCGACGTCGCCGTCGCCGCCTGTTCAAGTGGCGCTAGATAAATGCTGAATTCGTGTCTGGCAGGCGCCCAACATTATTCGTTGGGTGGTTTTGTATCCGTGGGTGGTTTTTGGCAACGCCCTCTCTCCGTTGTCGAGTTGGTAACACGCTTTACTGCACATTAAGACTTGTTTACGAATTTGCTTGTAACATGAAATTAATTTGTAAATTTAAAGGTTGCCAATGGGGCGCCATCAAGCAGTCTCCATTTCCATCTTGCGACTGGCAGCTGCCACAGTGGGACACGTGATGGTCCTATCACACCACATGCACGAAATTTTAATTATTTGTCTTGCTTTGACATCGTCGCGACCCAGGGCAACCCAGCCAGGGAAACTAACGAACCAATCATCCGCTGGCACTTTCTGGCGAGAAGCTGTTGACAAGCTGAAGCAGCGTTGCGGTTTGCCATTCCATATTGTTTAATTTATATAATATAGTTGCAGTTCTGTTTTGAGCCGGAACAATATTTTGTTCTGTTTTTGGCCAAAAGTTTATATAAAAATATATTACTTTGCGGGAAAAATTTGACAAACTAAATTAATGATTGCCTACAGAATTCTTCTTAAGCGAACCTAAATAGAAAGATTAGTTTTAAAATAATTAATGCAATCTGTAATTCCAAGGGAGTTTTGGTAGCTCATCTTAAGTCGAAAGATTCATTTGAAAAATATTTTGAGCTGTCAGATATTTCAAGGGATATTTTTGTTTAGCTCAGCTTAACTCGAAGGATT